ACTACGATCCTTTGATTTCTTACAAGGACGATCGTATAGTATCAATAAGTACTATATCAGTAGTGTGTGAACATTGCTTTGCATTGAAATTCAAGGATGAATCGAAAGGCATGTGTTGCTTACAAGGTAAAGTCAAATTAGAAGAATTTCATAGATCGGTTAATCTAAAAAGAAATGTGAAGAAAATTTCCTCTTCACTCCCTGGCGGCAACACTGATCCGGTTCTATAGTGAATCTGCCCAGAAACTTTTAGTATAGTTGGTGGCAACTTCAAAATGGATGCGTATAATTGCTCTACAGAAATCCAACATACATAGCCAAATTAAAAAAAATACCTTATAACCAACCTTTTTTTAGCTTATAACCATCATTGAGACGTCTGAAGCCGGTGTCTGAAATTTCAAAAAAATCGGTTCGGACGTTCTCGAGCTTTGCGAACACAAAAAAACGGCTTTCAAAATATATATTAGCATAGATTGATATGAATCAAAATGGTTTTGAATATGTATCACAATATGTATGAGTGTCTCACGAAACAGGTTTAAAAATTTTGCCAACTGTTTAAAAGGTTAAATTCAAACTATTAGTAATTTAAATGAATTATTACAATATGGGTATCAAAACTACATGTAAGGGGTCTCCATCTGTTTAAAATCTCAAAATGAGTTCAGGGGATAAGTAAACTGAAAAAGTATGATAAGTGAGAAAGAAAGTTTTATGTAGCTTAAAATTATTTTGAAGATGTTTAAACACATTTTAAACCTCCTGTTTTTTAATTGAGTTTTCTTGACATAAATTTTACTCAATATAGCACGTAGAAATTTCATACACTCAGCGAAGCGGATGAGTTATATATATATGTTTACGGTGCCACGCCCTCTTTCCAAATAGCCAATTTTTCTCCATGAGTATAAGATTGATTTCATATTTCGCCGTACCAAGTTCCATTATTCTACCATGAACGCTTCCAGAGATATGAAATATGAAAAAATCGGTTTGTATGGGAGGTGCCACGCTCCCTTTAGACATCGAAATTTTGTAGGTTGCCATCTTTTTAAAAGGTTACGTTCAAACTATTCAATAATTTGAATGAATTATTACAATATGGGTATCAATCGAAATGGTTTTTAAATGGCTTCATTTCAATACTACATGTAAGAGGTTTCCATCTGCTTAAAATCTCAAATTGAGTTCAGGGGATACGTTAATTGAAAAAGTATGACAAGTGAGAAGTTTAAAAAAATTTTAGCTTGAAAATATTTTGAAGGTGGTTAAACAAATTTTAAACCTCCTGTTTTTTATTTGAGTTTTCTTGAAATAAATTTTATTCAATATAGCACGTATAAATTTCATACACTCAGTGAAGCGGGTGAGGGCGTTCTAGTAATCGTTAAATACGGATTTATTTTTTTAAATTTTGTCGTTATTTTCTCATTTTTATTCATTCGATAAATTATAATCGTTTTTTTACCGTTATAATGGATACTGCATTTTATTGACGATACTGCACTGACTACTTGGGCCGCTGGGGTGTAGTGGTAAGAAGTGCGACTACCATTCCCCAAAGCCTGGGTTCGAGCACAGTTACCGACAAACATCCATGCCATGAAAAAGAGCTTCTCATAAAAATACCATCGCCGTTTGGAGACGAATAATTTTCTGATTCCTTGCTTCTAGAGTAACTGAAATATATGATTCCAACTGAATTTTTTTTTTAAGTTTGTGAGATCACATGGACTTGCTTAAAAAAGCAATTGGAGACCTCTGGGTAGACCCTAGTACTCTGTTTACAAATACATTATTAACTAAAAAAAAAAGGTCGAATAAATCCAACAAACTGGCTTTAAGGCTCAGGTGCCTGAAACACGAATATCCAACTGGTCCATCAGCAGCAAATAAAAACATCTACTCTCTCAAATCCAAAGTAAGACGACCGAGCTGGAATACGAAGAGAGGAAAGAGTATGCTGTGACGAATATAAAGATCGTCTCTGGGTATGTGAAAACGTAATCCACTATGCGAGTAGGATATCATGTGTCGAGATAGAAAATCCCTCTGAATCAAAAAGACTTAAAAAGACTCAGGAAAAAATTCGACAATTTGCGTCTATTAATGACGAACGATGGGGAGTAACGCTCTTAAGTAACGACGAAACGTTCATTTTCCAAACTGTACAAGCGAAAAAAATAAAGAATATAAGAACGGGACATGTCCATTTTCACTACAATGCATGTATGTATATGTAAGCATTATAGCCATTAAATCGATTTCACCATATAGAATGTAGTGATGTTTGCCGGTCATTATTCAGGCAGTAGTTCTAATCGTTTTTATTCGGATCTTCAATGCTTGCATTATGTATACTTTCACTTGTGCCTAATTCATAGAGAACAGCGAAACTAATAAGTGAAGGGAATCACGTATATCCTAAGCATTATAGGTCAATTAGTTTAGCATTCTTCTAAACACACTTCAAAGGCCGGTTGTTGATAGAAAGCCACAAAAGAGACCAATCTAATTTCTAATACATGCGTGTACCAACCATAAATGAAGAGGAATGCGGATTGGATGTATTCCTGGTCATAGCGGGCGCCTTCAATACATTTTAGCCAATTTCATAACCTGTTGGAAGGTGCTGAACTAGTGGGAGTTGCCGCATATCTCCATTATCTCTTTGCACGTGTTCAGTTAAAGGAGTTCATAAAGCATTGGAAGTCAAAATATACGCGGTAAGTGGCTTAAAACAATGAGCTCTTTAATGGGCCTCGAGATATTCATTTACAGTCCAAGAATGTAGGAAATCGGAATACGAAAATTGAGAAACGCCTCGTATTAAAAGCGCGTCTTTAGCGCAGAAAGATTATACAAAATACCAGAGGGTAATACTGGATAGCAAACTGTCAAGTATATTTGTATGGTTCTTTACGCATGTGATGGGGAAGCGGTCAGGTGTGCTAGAAAGGGATCTGAAATAATGAAATAAAACTGGAGGAAGCGATCCACATCCCTGCGATTCTTTGTTCAAAAGTGGAGAGAGTGACCAGGGCAGCTACCAACAGTAGGTGGAATAATCTACACACCTGCACGGTATAGCACTAGCTCTGGGCAGGGCTCGACGACCAAAGAACACAGAGTTTATTAGAGCGCTCAAAAACAAACGCTGAAACGGCTGCTAGGATTTGCTAAAGAATCAGTATGGTTTAAAGACATATTGGAAAAGTATTGGGGAAACCTCTGAGCATCTCAATGGACCTCTGGGCATCACAATGGGCCTCTGTAGCGAGTGAACTCTTTTCAGAGCATAACCTAACCTAACCAAACCTATGCATAGAAACATAATATTTCTCCCCGATATCTATTCATTTTATCACTACCCTGACGGAAACAAATCAACTAATTGAAAAACTACTTTGAAAAAAATGCAGTGAGTAAATGTTTCGAATTTTGATACCCTTTTTACCCAAAGAAATAATTTGTGCCATGAAAGTATGAAAGAGCATATCTGTGAAGTGCAGAACGAAAGCGTATTCAAAAGAAACTCACTGACTGTGAAGTGCTTTAATTCAAATGCATTTTAAAGTAGTTGTAATCAAATGCAAATTTGGACAATCGACTTGCTGCTTGCACACAATTCAAACTAAACATTTGTAAGGACTCTTACATGTCTGGCTGGAGCTGAGCGTGCAGAGATGCGTGCTGTTGCTTGTTAGCTTCCGGAAGGTCCGGATTCGAATCCCAACAGAGGCAAGATGTGAAACTAATAATAAATTTATTTTTTGTCTTGGAAATATGAAAAGGCATGTGCGAAGTGCAGAACAAAATCGTATTCAAACAAAACATATTGACTTTGAAATGCTTTAAGCCTAGGACATCGCCATGTTAAATAAATCAGTTCGTTGCAGGGAAAAAAGTGAGAATTTCAATTATTTGCTATTGAAAACAAAAATGGTGGATCTATTGGAATGTAAATACTAGACATTTAAGTATGTAAGTTGATTTGTCAAGAGTGATGTCGGTGTGTCCCGCGTTGCTTATAGTAGGTACGAAGCCTCCTCATACCGACCTAAACCACAATTAAACTAAATTCTGAAGTAATTTGATCGTGCAAAATATGGTTACTGACTTTTTTTTTTTTGCTGTAAACCAACGAAAAAAAAGTTTTTAAAATAATTAATAATCAAACCACTTCTTGTTGACTCATTTGGCTACGTTCACGCTGACAAAATGCAGAAGATGTCTCGTCACCTATGTTAATATCATTGCTGATTACAAAGTCTCAAGACTTAAGTAGAAAAACGGTTCAAAACTTATCTACAAAATTAAATATTTACATTCGGTTAAGGAAGTGTCTCACGCTCGTTTCGATACATTAGTCATACACTTTAAAAATATTTGGCTTTGTTTATCATTTGTGATATTGTAAAATATTGGAAGGTGTTTAGTATTTTCTTAGCTCTACAGCCGCATTAATGTGAGCA